CAAGTTTGGAAAAATAGCTTAAAATGTGTTTCTGATGACTGTAGGTCTCAATTCCAGTCTGGAATTCTCAGATGTATGTATTCCTCACTTTTAAAACAACTGACCTGTGTACTTAAAATCCATTTTTATCCCCAATTTGTAGTCCATCAAGAACAGCAGGATTTTAGTTTGGATAGGGTAGCAGATGTCACTGTGCAAGTCATATTTTCTGTTCCAGATCCAATATGAAAACTGCTTCTATAGCAAAAGCCTAGGAATTCCCTTGTCAGGAGCGGGAGAGAAGATGTCTGAGTCAGCACTGGCCTCTCTTTTGTGACAGTGTGCCAGTTGCCAATGGCAGAGTTCTAGTGCATTCAAACATGTGGCATTTTTCACAGCTCATTGTATTTTATATCATGTATTTCTGAAAATCACTTGAGATTTGCCTACATGATAAATTTCCCTTTCCTGGTCATAAAAAAGATGGTAGATTTCCATTTCCTAACCCTTTTAACTGGCCTGTTGTGAAGACTTGTTACATGAAATTCAACTTGCCTGGAAGGAAGCTATTATCAGGTTTTTCTAAACTGAGAAAATAATCTTACAATCATAATTATTAGTGCTAAGGAAGCAGAGAAGGAAGATGACACCCTGGCAGAGCCTAGAACTCAGACTTTCTTAGCTGTGTCTAGTGTCCTAGTTTCTGAATTCTAGAACTTATCAGAAACATAGTGCTGTTCACACATTGTTCTTTGAGTCTGTAAACTTTTCACTTCTCTGGGGAAGTCTTATTTGTCACAATAATTTTAAGGTCCTATCATCTAAAACCCATATTGATTCTCTTTTATTTCAGAGGGAGCAGAAATTAAGCAAATTTGTATTAAAGGCCTTTGATGTCTATCAGCAATAGACAATTTGTGTTTGTTGTGTGTCAGACAAGCGTGTTTTAAAAGTCACTGAATTTTAATATTTTTGGATGGGACTACCTTTAGCCTGAGCAGTTCTTTCTGGTACTCAGTTCACTTCCTTCAGCCCCATTTAGCTACTCTCTGGCTTCACCCCTGTGAGTTTGTTATCCTGATAGATCTTTTCTGGGCTCCACTTCATTTTAATCAGTAGTGCCTTGAATGCAAGTGAAAAAACCTCAGCTTGACCTATAGACAAAGGGAAACTTACTGATAGGTGACAGACCTTTTTACATAACTAGAGGAAAGGCAGGGTTGACAGCTTCAGAGACAGTTGGAACCTGAGACCTGCCAGAGAAACCTATGTATCTCTTTGACTCTCTTCCACTGCAGACTTGTTTCCTCAGTAGAAGGAAGCAAGTGGAAGTTTGGGAGCATGGCCACCCATAGCTCCTAAGCCTCTCTGCCAGAAAGGGACTGACTCTCTTCCCTTGGATCCATGTTGGAAAATCTATAGGATGTTCTTGTATGGTCCAGATGTCTACCCATGCATGGACCAATTACTTTGGCCAGACAGACAGGGCATGTTGATTACCAGCTTTGGGACAGAAGTCAGCCAGCGTGGGTGACTGTAAGCTGAACATCCCATTATTATCTATTATATAGAATATTCCCAGTGTTGCTTTTTATGTTCACCACTTGGAGGCTCCTTCTCTTGATCAGAGTAACTTGCTTGGGCCACAAAGCATTTTCTTTCAGGAGCTTCTAGTACTGCACTGAGGATTATAATATCATGTACACAGAATGTGTTCTATCAGTTTGTTTCATGAAATGAGATGGTCTTTCCCTGCGCCTTCCTTGCCCTTCTTATTTAAGGGTCTCCTGTGCAAAATCAAAACCTTAGAATATCCCAGAGCCTCAGCTTTGAATGCACTAAAAACTCCCTTGTTGCAACAGTTGGGAGATTATCAAGTTTGAAATTTGCGAAACACAGAAAAAAGTGACCAGAAGTCACTGCAGTGGCTAGCACCATGAATTGTGATGGGTTTTTTTGCTTTTGTTTTTTGCCTGCCCAAGCTCAAAATAAGCTGGCATGGCTCGTTCTGACTTAATGTTGACTCTAAAAATGGAATCACTCTGTTGAGGCTAGCCCCTCAGAATCTCATGTGGGTCTTTGGGAAGAGGTGAATAGCACACTTCCCCTTCCCCTTGTGTTTCATCCTCGGTCAAGAGCAGGAGCTCTGCAGCACAATGTGTCTGGATGGTTTTGGTTCAGCATATACTTTAGCCTCTCCTGCCCTAGCTAACTCTGAAATGAGGGTGATAATAGTACTTATCCCATGGGTCTGTTATGTACATCGGCGTCTGACATGTAAACTATATCTAGCTCAGTAATTGGCATAGTCAGTGCTCAGCAAGCTCCAGCTGTCACTATTATTATCTTCGCCATGCACTGGCCCCATCTGGTGGCCCAGAGGTTTAAGGGTAATCAGTATAAGAAATGGGACAGGGTGTCGGACTAGATGCTTTTCAGAGCTCTAATTTCCTCATCTCATCCTTCTACATTTTCAGATAAGAGAAAGGGAAGGAAACCCACTTCTCAGACACCTGCTATCTGCCACACATCTTCATACAGATATCACTTAGTTGTCATTCAGTTTCCACAACTTCTTCTCTAATATCTGTCTCACCGATCTGTAAATGTCATAAGTGCAAGACTCCTTTGGCCTTTTTCAGGGCTGGCATAGAGTAGACCCTCTGTAAGCATGTGTTAAATTCAACTTTGCTGGCAATGCCTTATTGAGGTCGCTGTTAGTGTATTTTCACTGCTGCTCGAAATGAAGGTTTCCAAGCATTACCGCTGCTAAGTAGTGGAACCAGTCTGAACCCAGATTTTTGTGGCTGCCGCTCCAGTGCCCTTTTTTATTTACAACTGTACATGTGGATGAATTCAGCCAATTAGTAGCACCTCTCTGTGATATGCAAATTGGGTTTTTAAGTCTAGCTGGGGAAGTCAGCTTCTTTGTCCCACTGCTAGTTAATCTGGGCTTAAACAAAGGTAGAATTGCAGACTTGCAGTATCATTTTCAAACAGAGGCCCTTCCGAAGTCCATTTGATCCACACTGGAAGGAATAATACCAGTGGTTTCCATTTATAAAGCAATTTAGAAGTTTTATTCTAAAAATTCCTGTGAGCACCATTTATTGACCTTTACATGTCTTTCTTCTCTCTTTTCAACTGTGATCCTTTAAAGTGGAAGCCACAGGATCACCTTCACCGTGCATCCTGTCTTTCATGGCTGGCTCTGAAATCCACCCAGGTGCATTTCAGATTTGAGTTCCCAAACTTTGATTCATTCAGCACGGGCCCTTTTTTAAGCTCACAGTCTATTCTGCCATACGTTGAAGAAACAAGTAAGACAAAAAGTCGATCATGCTAGTATATGAGAGATAGACACATAAAAAGATACAACTCAATATTGCAAAAATCGTGATAAAATAAATTGGTCATGCTGTGGAAGGGCCACTGCCCCTGGGCTCAGGGAATTGTGACATGAAGTAACTTTTGAATTCATGTCATATAATCTGTTTAGGAGCAGAGTTTGGCAGGAGAGAAATTCTAAAGTCTTTCTCCTGTATGGGAGACATTTAGAGAGAATCTATATCTAAATGAGAAAGAATTGTGGTCCTACAAAATAAGTGGACAGATAAGGGTAGTCACAGTCATCCAGCAGACCTACGCTGCAGTCTCAGCATATTATGTAGTGGGGTTAGATTTCTCAAGTTGTAAGCCAATAGGGAATTGATGGGACAGGATGAGATTGTAACCTAATCTAGTAATAATGAATAGCTGGGCATGACCTGATCCTTATCTCTTGTATTGTTACAAACTGATGGGGGAGCCTGTTGAACAAGGGTATGTCAATATATTCAAAAAAGAAACTGAGGTGGGAGTGGGGGGTAGGAGGTATCAGATAGTACCCCAGCATTCCCCAAAGGAGAAAATGTCCTGTCCATGTAATTATTTTCACCAGCCTTATAGTAAAGTTAGGAATATGGATTTATCAGAGCTTGATTCCATTTACTATCATCATTCGCATCTTTATTACATGTCTGGTTTTTTGCCACCTACCCTGCTAAGTGCTTTTCATGTATTGTTTCACTTAATCCTTTCAACATCCCTATAGTAAACCTTTATTTCTTCCCATTTTGTAAATGAGGAGACTGAGGCTTGGAGATGTCAGAACATCTCAGGGTTGGAAAACTCTTAAATCAAGGAACTCGGGTCACAAAAAACTCCTACTACTTGTCTATATGCTTTTCTTATCATCTCCAGATAGCTTTCCTGCCTGCAGTCTGTATGTTACACATGCCACCTGTATGTTATACATGCCACCTCAGACATTTACCCGGGGCTTAGAGTTAGCCAATCTTTGCTCCTATCCAAAACAATCTCACTCCATGTTCCCTGCCTTCTCCAAGTCCAAATGCAGGAGTTTAGGCCTGAGACGAAACAATTTTATGATAATTTCCCCTATAAATTTGCCTGTAAAGAAGGATGAGATGTGATGGGAAGCAGACATAAGCATCCTGGTCAATTTGTTGGTGTCAATAAGTTGCCCTTTAAGTGTGCAGTGGTTTCCTCTGTGTTTTGGTAGTTTGTTCCTCTCCTAAGTCTGGACTCTGTACTTTTCAGTAACTTTGTAAACCCGAGTGTCTTTAGTGAATATAGTTTTGCCTCTAATTGAATATCTTGAGAAGAAAGATGTTCTAATATCAGAGCTTGAACCATGAAAGAACAAAATATTCAGTATAAATAAAGATATAGAAATTACTAGTATGGCAAAAGAAGAAAAATCTCGGCTGACATGACCATCAGGGAATATCTGATAGGTTTAAAGCCTGATAGATCTGAAAGTTCCCAAAAGAAGCATTTGAAGTGACAAGACTATGTTCATTTCTGAGAGTTAGTTGAGCTGGATGAAGAGAAATTTCACGACTGGTGCTTTGTGGTCATTTTTGTAGTAGAGCCCAAACTCCATGGTGTTTGCTAAAGTTGGAGAGTGCAAATGAACCCTAAAATACTGTTAACTGGTTGTATCTCTTACATTTTAGGATGACATCTCCCAGATCGTTGATCAAGGTGTGGTGGCAGGTCAACAGAAGCCACTGGAATGCCCAACTGACAATGTACGTAACTTCCACTTTAGGTTTTGCTCTACTGGGATGGTGTGCATTGTAAGTAGGTTCCAGAAGAAAAGGAGGTGATTACAATGAAATCAGATCCTTTGTGACTTGCCAGGAGGTTATGGTATGTCTTGCAACTTGCAGTCAACCCACAGCCATATAACCGATTCTGTGTAAGGTATATGGAAATATTCTCTGTGCGTCTTCCTGGGTCGATACCTTGAAGAGGTGTTTAAAAGCAGGCCATCCCTGCAAACACACCCGCACTTAAATTCTTAGAGTGCCATGTCTTAATGTCATAAATAAAAATTTTAAGTGGGAGAATGTGTAGTTCTGTACAAACATAAATACAATAACATTCATGTTCCTTGCATTTTAAGTTTCACTGCTCTTAAAAAAACTATAAATTTTTGTCAAATGTTTGTACTTTTGTTGCTATTGAGTGTTGTTTTTTAAATCTTGATTCTCATTTCTACATTCTAGTTTATACTTTCAGGCTGCTAAAATTTACATTATTACTGTACTATTTTTATGTTTAAGGAACTAGAACTTACAAGAAATGCATGATATTTCAAACATTGCCAAAGGACACACCTTTGAAAAGTCTCCAAAATTATATGCTAAAATCCTAAATAAAAATGAGTAGGTGTAGGGGTGCCTGGCTGTCTCTGGTAGACATGAGACTCTTGATCTCAGGGTTTTGAGTTTGAGCCCCATGTTGGATGTACAGATTACTTAAAAATATAAAATCTTTTTTAAAAAAATGACTAGGTACAGGAAGAACCTTAAAAATAACCAGATTCAGTTCAACCAAAATCATATAAGCAATTTTTAATTTAAGAACACATTTTTTACTTTATGTAATGTATTTGTAAATACTATTAATGTGTTAATACATTATATGCTGCCACATATCACAAGGTACATATCAGCCATCTCTAAAATGTTATTTTAGCATAACATTTTATTCATCATCTGCCTTTTCTTTTCCCTGCTGAAAACTGAGCGCTTAAATATCTAAAGCATTTTCCTTTGGGAAAGTGTCTATAACCCTTTTCTGTGGCTACAGAAGAGAAAGGGCCCAGAGGTCAGTGAACAACATATGCAGTGAGGCTGTGTCAGCTCATTATGAAGAACTTCCCAACCACTCGAGCTGTTCCAAACCACCCCTGACAGTTTTCAGTCAGGAGCTGGCTGGTCATTTATTATCAACGGGTATCAAAACATTAATAGCTGTTATCAGTTGAACTCTTAAACTGTTCCTGGCACAGTGATAGGTTTATTTATATACCTCTCTCTTTGATCTTTACAGCAAGCTTGCAAGGTTTAGAGATAATGCCACCAATTTACAGATGAGCAAGTTTAGGTACAAGGAGGTTAAGTGCCTTGCCTGTGGCCATGCAGTTAATCCATAGTAGCAAACTAAACAATTCATTTCTTGTTTTCAATGGCGATTTTTGTTTTCCCATCATAAAAGACCTGATGAACTGTAGATTCTTTTCCCCAGAAAAACACTGATAAACATAACTGTGACACAACACAGGATTTTTATAATTCCCCAGATAGTTTCTGTGGCTCTCTCAGAAACCCATTAACCCTGGGTTAAGAACCCATGGGTTAACTTTAAGCAATAATTCTTAAAACACAAAACATGCCAATTTACTTGGTTTAGGATGGGGGTCCCAGCACCCATAAATTTTAAAAGCTCCCTAGCAATTTCTGTTATAAATACAGGGTATGAGAACCACTGGCTTAGTTAGGTTAGATGGCTTATAACATCCATTCCAGCTCTCATGTTTGAATAGAAGACATTCAAGAGCAAATCCAATCTCTCTTATCATTCATTCTTATTAGTTTGGTTTTGTGCCAATGGATGAGTCATGGGGAGCACACATTCCATCCATCACCACACTTACCAACAAGAAGTCTGCTTCTAAAAATATATGTTGGACTTTTCACTTGGTTCCTGTGGACTGTTTCCTTGTTTTTTAGCTGAGTTCAGTGCTATCAATACCTGTTGGAAACCTATTATGCACAATGAAATGGGATGCTACCTGGAGCTGAGATGTAATGATGCAGACATTCCCTGCTATTATAAAAGTGATAATGTAGTGATTGCGGTCTCTTGTACTTTACTGTTTTAAAAATCCCATGATTTTTTTCATAAAAACATTCTTTAGCTTACATTTAGCTTTGTTACTGATATTCTTTTTAAAGATGATCCTAAACAAAAGTGGAACTTAAGTACTGTATGAGTTAAGATTAGGCTCAATCTCTACAGGAAGGTTCTCTTGTATATAAAGTATGGATATGATCATCTGAGAATGATTATCATTCTTATTTGATTACCCTCCTTAAAAATGCATCCAGTTTTTGGTCTGAGGTGGCTTCTCCACTTATTATCACCCTATCTGCATGCCAGTTAGGGAGAAGAGGAAGGAAGGATTCTAATCCTTAAGAGAGTGACCTGAGAATTGTACAGTTTGTGCCTGTTTACATCCTACTGAGTAAGAGTTAGTCTGCAGATGTAACTGACTGCAAGGAGGCTGGCAAATGTGGTCCCTGGAGTAATTAGTATGTAGGTGGTTCCATTGTTCAGTTTTCTGATAATAAACCTTTATTTGACATATTTCCACTGCCCTCGTTTTTTAAATCACTGAAAATATGTCTTTGAATAAGTCTTTTTAAGAAAGTATATGGTCATTATTAAATGTTGGTGATAGAAAAACTGCAGAAAAGAAAATGAACATTCATAGACTCATTGCTTAGCAGCTGTTTGATAAACATTTTAAACTTGTAGCATTCTGAGATGCTTGGTGGCTCAGATGGTAGAGCATGCAACTCTTTTTTTTTTTTTTTAAGTTTATTTATTTTGAGAGAGACGGGGGGGGCGGGGGGAGGGAGAGAGAGAATTCCAGGCAGGCTCTGTACTCTCAGTGTGGAGCACGGCAAGGCTTGATGTGGGGCTTGATCCCAGGAACTGAGATCACGACCAGAGCTAAAATCAAGAGTTGGGTGCTCACCCGACTAAGCCACCCGGGCATTTCAAGCATGCAACCTTTGATCTCAGAGTTTTAAGTTTGAGCCCCATGATGGGGATAGAGATTACTTAAAAATAAAATCTTTTAAAAATAAAAATACAATACTTTGTAGCATCATTTAGCTACTGACTTTTAATCCAACCTCTTCTTTTGATTAGTTGTGTGATTTCAGATATGTCATTTGACGATGATTTCTGTTCTGGAAAAGAGAATAATATTGTCTAACTCTCCAGGTTGTTCTTATGAATGAATGAATTCATAGATGTGAAAGTGTTTTTGAAAACTGGGAAACACAATGCAGATACACAATGGGTGGTATTGTTTTAGTTTTTATATACTGCACAGTGTCTTGTAATGAGGCAAAGTCTTCCACTGACAGAATCTTGAGGTGTCATTGTTCTGGAGCAGTTACCTTGATCCTATTTCTAGACTCCAGGGACAGCCTGGTGCTTCACTGCTCCCACCCGAATCTTCCAACTGGGGATGGGTTCCCTGGCTAACTACAGATCCAGAAGGCAGGTCAGGTCACTACCTATATTTCTTAACTGCCTGTGAAGCAAGCATGGAATCCTTTTGGTTTTTCTTGGTTTTCTAATACTAATAACTCATTGAAGGTTTTATCAGCCCAAATCTAGAATTACAAGTTAATTTTCCAAAGCTCACACAGCAAAGTTCTCTGCACCTTGATTGTATTATAAATTCATTTTCAACTGTGACTTCCCATGTCTTCAATTTTGCTCTTCTGTATCCATTCATTGACTCGTTCATTGACTCATTCATTCATTCATCAAACATTTACTGAGGCTTTACTATGTTCCAGGCACTGGGAGTCAATGGGGCTAAGGTACAGGTCTTTGAGGTGAATTCAAATGTAATTTGTGTACCTGGCACTTAGTAAGCTTTTAGTGGATGCTTATTTCCTCTTCCTGACCTTCATGTTGCTCGATTAACCTGCCTAATGCATTTGGCTATTGTGGATGTGTCCAGAAGAGACGGACAGGGTTGTATGCTCAGAACATCTGCACCATAGATTGCTTTTCACCAAGCACAACATAGGTATGTACACTTCGCATTGACTGCATCAGAATAAGTAGAAATTGTAAAAATTTTTGTTCTGCTTACTAGCCCCAGCATCATATACAGACCGCAATGATAGGTATTATCAGCTTTTATCCTTCTTCCCTTCCTTGATCCATCCTTCACTGAAGCATTTTAGATGTTACATTAAAATAGGGAGGCATGGGGGAGGGGACAGAAATTGTCTGAACTCCCTCCTGCCACCTCTCCCACTTTGAATTCTCAGAAGACATTTTTGGAGTGCTCCCATTGTTTTGGTAATAACACACCAGTTTTGTTTGTTTGTTTGTTTGTTTTTACAAATAGTTTATTGTCAAATTGGTTTCCATATAACACCCAGTGCTCATCCCCACAAGTGCCCTCCTCCATGCCCATCCCCCCTCCCCCCCCCACACCCATCAGTCCTCAGTTTGTTCTCAGCATTCAAGAGTCTCTCGTGGTTTGCCTCTCTCCCTCTCCCCCACCATTTCCCCCCTTCTTCTCCCCCATGATCCTCAGTTAAGTTCCTCCTAATCCTCCTATATGTGCAAACATATGATATTTGTCCTTCTCTGCCTGACTTATTTCGCTAAGCATAACACCCTCAAGGTCCATCCAATAACACACCAGTTTTAAAGTCTTGTTCTTTTGTTATTTCTCCCCTTTGACGTTCATCTAATTTTCCTTTCTTCTGTAGGCTGTCAGCCAGATGAAACAGCAAAAATATTCAACAAAAGTTTCCTTCAGTTCACAAGAGATACCTTTAGCACCAGCTCCATCATACCATTCAACAGATGCGGACTTCCCAGGCTATGGTATGATTTTGTCTCTGAGCAAAATTGAATTGAATTGAATTGGCTCATCAGACATGAGAGAAAGGGATTGTGATGTCTTGAAACGAGCACTGGACCAGGAGTCCAGAAGCCTGGTTTTGCACCCCTCCTACACTTCCTTAGCTTTGGGACTTGGGCAGGTCACCATTTTCCTCAGCTCTGTTATTGGGATTGCCTTGTGCTTATTGAATATAAAAGTACTGGAACAAAAAAGGCCCTCAGTAAATACTGTTTGAATATGAGGCTTCCAAAAAACTTAGTCTGTAGTCTCTCCAAAAGATTGTGTTTAGTTCATGAGTAATACCTCTTAAAAATCATAATCAAATTGTTAGCCTTGAATATGTTGATATAAGTTATTTGAAGATTGTTGATTTTCAGTCTTTAAAGACTTGAGTACTCACTTTCTCTCTTTGAATTCCTAGCATGAATTATGCTGACTGGCAGTTGAAAAGAGATTTTCAAAATGAATAATAAGTACTTCCACTTTGTTTTTATATGATATGAGTCAGTATTTTAAAAAAGCCTATTTAAAACATTATGCTCACCAGTGGCAAAGCACAACCCTGCCTGAATTTAGCAGGCCTGACACCTTTATGGTATTTGTCTTTCACATGCTTTTTATAAACATTAACACAATAAAAAATTTAGCAAGCAAGTAGTTTTCTGAAGTACTGGATTTTTACTAAAATTCTTGATGAATATGGTCCGCAAACTATGACCTGTGGGTCAAATTTGGTCCACCGTCTGTTTTTGTATAGTCTCCAAAAATGGTTTTCAGATTTTTAAAAGGTTGGAAAAATCAAAAGGCTGTTTCATGAAAATCACCTGGAAGCTGGACTTCAGCGTCCATAAATAAAATTTTTCTGGAATACTGTGCTCATTTGTTTATCTGTTGTCTAAGGCTGCTTTCACACATTAAGGATAGAATTGAGTAGTTGCTACAGAGAATACATGGCCTGTAAAGCTCAAAATACTAACTACCTGGCCTTTTACAGAGAAGGTAACCATGATTTAGACCAACTGAGTTTTAATACAGTGTATTGCATATTTATAGCTTCGTAACAGAAATGAATCATCCTATAATTTAATCTGTGGAAATTCTTCTCATTCACTCATCTCCTTATGAAACATTTATTGGGATCCGGGTTTGTCAGGCTTTCGGCCAGATCGTATGGGAGAAATACATACCAAGACTGACTCAGGACCAGCTAGGATGAGGCAAAAATGGAGAGAAAGAAATGCCATCCCCAGCATCTCTGACTATGTGTTCTCTCTCTCCTCACTCAAGAGGCTAATCTAGTTATTTACATAAGGACAGTAAACTTTGTAAAGCATTCATGAGATTATGCCACTCTTGTGCACTGTTTTATTGTAAATGAATGGAAAATGCAGTGTGAAAACATATGCTACAAAAAGATCTGGAGTCAAATTGGGTTTATAACTTAAAATTCGTCTAATAGGGCATTTTTTATTGTTACTGAGACTATGTCGCTAAATGTCTCACTCTTAAGCAAGAGGCCATTAGATTAACAAATTCCATGTGGTCAGAAAGAGTGACTATATGAATGGTACATTATGCCAGCTACTGGACTGGACACCTTACACACATTGTTCATTTAATTCCTATTAGAAAGTGGCTAGTTACATGCATTTTTCAGATGCTAGGAACAAGCCTCAGTTTTACCCACCTATCAATTTCCTTCTTGGAAACTTAAATCCATATCCCTACCACTCCAAACCTGATTTATTATTATTATTGCTTAGGGTGGAACCCTCCACAGACTTACCTACAGCCTCTTTCCTTTTGTTTAATATCAGAGATTGGCAAACTTTTTCTGTAAAAGGCCAGATAGTAAATATTTAAGGATTGTGGACCATTTGGACGGTTACAGCTACTCAACTCAATTGTCAGAGTGATAACAGCCATAGACTGCAAGTAAATGAATTCTCAGGGCTGTGTTCCAATACAACCTCATTTATGGACATTGAAATTTGAATTTCGTGTAATTTTGACATGTCTTCATAAAAAGTTTTTTTTCAAACCTTTTGGAAATGTAAAAATCATTCTTACCCTGCAGGCCCTTGCTTGTACAGAGAAGTTTAATGAGCTTTCTAGATCCCAAATTGGCCCCTGTGCATTAGCTGCAGCTGACCAGCAGGTGGGGCCCTTTATTATCAGCCCTTAACTAAATTCTACCACAGAGTAAGAATCAGTACTCATGATGATCAGACTCAGTTGTCAGAAAAGATGACATTCTCTGGACGCTATTATTTGTATAAGAATCTCATGAAAATAACCTTTTGGATATTTTGATTTTTCGATTAGTTAGAATCAGTCATCTGGAAAATGCACATATGTAGAAGTTATGCCAGATAAAGAGGTTGTATTAAACATCTTTTCCTAGCCAGTAAATTTTTTTTTTCTCTCAGTTTCTACAGAAACCCAATCTAAAAGCAATGATTTAAAAAAGTAAACCTTGGGGTGCCTGGCTGGCTCAGTCGGTAGAGCATGCAACTCTTGGTCTGAGGGTTGTAAGTTCCACCCCACATAAGGGGTAGACATCTCATTAAAATTTTTTTTAAAAATCTTTAAAGAAAATTATACTTCAAAAAATTTAAAAGTAAATCTTTATAAAATAGAAATTTTAGCAAGGTTTTCAGTCATGGACCCAGTAATTCTTAAATGTTGTGTTTATGACACTTTTTTTTTTTACTCTGTATATTATTTTCAGCTGTCATGTTTTATTGATTAAATCCTTTATACATCTTAATTCATGTGCTATGCTCTATTGAAAGTATTTAAGCACTAATTTTTCTTAGTATCTTAGAAATGTAACTCAGAATCTTCTGTCGTTCCAGTCTTTATTTTCATTATGCTTTGTGCCTATATGTACTTAATCATTTAGTCATACATTTTTCCATACCAGTTTCCTTGGTATATATTAAGATTTAAAATATTTCAGGTATAGAGGCGCCTGGGTGGCTTAGTCGGTTAAGTGTCCGACTTTCGCTTGGGTCATGATCTCGCGGTTCGTGGGTTCGAGCCCCGCGTTGGGCTCTGTGCTGACTGCCAGCTCAGAGCCTGGAGCCTGTTTCAGTCTGTGACTCCCCCTCTCTCTGACCCTCCCCTGCTCACGCTCTCTCTCTCTCTCCTAGAAATAAAGAAAACATTAAAATAAATAAATAAAATAAAAATTTCAGGTATAGTTAAAATAGATGCTCGAGTAGGGGGTAGTTATTGTTTTAATCTCAAAAGCATCAGGTTCCATCCCTTCCTGAATGGGTGTTAAGGACCCATTGTTTTCCATCATGGCGCTTAGCAGAAACTAGGACCACGTGGAGGCCCCGTGCTCCCCAAATGACAGAGTGTGCATGCTGGGCCGTATCTCCTACTAGCCGGTCATCCTGTGTTCAATCCTCCAGGTGGTTTCCAGGCTCCTCTGTCAGTGGACCCTGCCACATGCCCTATTGTTCCCGGCCAGGAAATGATTATAGAAATATCCAAGGGACGTTCAGGTCTTGGTCTCAGCATTGTGGGAGGAAAAGACACACCTTTGGTAAGTTTCCAGAAGTAAAGTGTATCTACTGTCACAGAATTAGTTGTGGAACCTTATTATGGCCTTTCTCACTTCTATGCAAGGCTTGGCTTTTTCATGGAATGGAAAAAAACATAGTTATAAATAGATACGCATGCATATTCTGGCCAGCTTTAAGTTTTTCTCGGTGTTTAATTTTCACCAGGATTTTCTCTGTCTAGGACATGGACTTTTTTAAAATTTTTTAAAAAGTTTTATTTTGTTTATTTTTGAGAGACAGAGCATAAATGGGGGAGGGGCAGAAAGCAAGAGCGACACATAATCCGAACCAGGCTCCAGGCTCTGAGCTGTCAACACAGGGCCCAGTGCGGGACTTGAACTCGCAAATAGTGAGATCATGACCTGAGCCACCCAGGCACCCCTGGAGCATTTTTTATAAATGCTTATTAGACCCACAACATTAAAGCAGCATTTAGACCTATTATAACAGGATTATAACTGGGAACACCTGGAGTTAACTAACTCAGCAGCCAGATTTAGCTGTCTTTTCATGGGGTGAGATTGAAATACAGTTTAAAAATACAGCCTACGGGGGTGCTTGGGTGGCTTGATTAAATATCCGACTTCAGCCCAGGTCATGATCTCGTATTTTGTGGGTTTGAGCCCTGCATCAGGCTCTGTGCTGACAACTCAGGGCCTGGAGCCTGATTCAGATTGTGTCTCCTTCTCTCTCTGCCCCTTTACCTCTCACATCTGTCTTTCTCTCAAAAATTAATAAACGCTAAAAAAAAAAAAAAAAAAAAACAGCCTAGGGCCACCTGGGTGGCTCAGTCAGTTAAGCTTAAGCATCCAACTCTTGATTTCAGCTCAGATCATGATCTCAGGGGTTGTGGCATTGAGCCCCGCATTGGGCTCTGCACTGTCATCACAGAGCCTACTTGGGATTCTCTCTCTCTCCACCTTTTTCTGCCCCTCCCCCCTCTCAAACTAAATAAGTGAAACTTAAAAAAAAAATGAACAAAAAACTTTAAAAATATAGCCTGGACCAAACCACAGGAAGGGGAACTTCTAAAGAAAAGATCGCCCCTTTCCTCAGTGACAAAAGCTGAAGAGATAGCATTCCAAGCCATATAATGAGAAATGTAGAAAAGTTCTGAGGTCTTTCTATACTAAAGGCATTGGAGTAGTATGCAGAAACTACTAGTCAACCTTGAATATTGGCTGTTTCTTCCTTCCAGGGCCTGTTTCCTCGCTTACCCAAAGAGATTTTCCTATATATTAAATAAGCTAAATTTATATAAATCTATATTTAAAATGAGCCAGGAAAGTTATATTCTAAGGAAATTTTGTAGTGAATTCTTCCATGAAGAAGTCACCCTCTTATTTATGTTTTGTAAATAAACATCTATACTGCTTAAAATAAGGCAGAACTAGATTTCTTATAGGAAATCAGAAGACTTTAATCAGCATGTTTTGCCTAGCTGAATGAGTTTGTTAACTAATTTTTTTTTTTGCTTTGTTATGAATATGACTTTGCTTTATGGGGTTGGTTAGAAAGCCTGAATAAGATGTGCCTGTGTTGCTCATGGTGCTTACTGTTGCAGATATTTGTGCTATTGGCTGCCAGCTTGGGGGCTCCCAGTGCTTCTTATCACCTGCTGCTTTTCAGATGTGAGGCTGTTTGCTAAATACTATGTTCTACTTCTCTTTGCCACCGTGAGGCAGGGAAGAAAAAAAAAAACTTTTAACAGCATTTGAAGTTCATAATCTATAGTTCTGCCTTTTGAGACTGTACTTACCACTGTCCTTGGAAGGATAAGCACTGCTTTAAAAATGAGAAATGGAGCGCAGCTTTTATGTTTTAACCTCAGGTAACTCTTCCAAAGCTGTAGGTTAGACTCACTAGTTAATATATAGCCATGTCGGGGTTTGGTGAGGCTGAACAGCAGGAGAGGGGAAAGTGCTTTAACAGATAAAACCACTGTTTACCGCAATGAAGATCTTTTGTTTCTTTCTAAATTTGGACATGGAATATGCAGCCTAATTGACATGCTGGGTCCCATTATCCAGTCAGGTCATGGGACTGCTCCCAGCCAGCAGAAAGTTAGCAAATAAAGACGAGAGCCTATGAAAGGAAATTGTGGACAGTTTGACTCACTGTCAAACCTTTGCACTTGCCTTTGCACATGTGATTATGTGATGCCTCCTTCAGCTCTGATGTAGGGAAAGAGCATGTTGTGAGTGCTAGTGACCCTTTTTAAGCATCTGTTCCAACCGGTTCAATTAGGGTTTCTGTGCTCTCTCTGTTGTGTGTCCAGCAGATACTTTTGCTGTCTTTGGAGGAATGAAGCCTCTGGGACTTGGTCTTGACACCACATCAGTCCTATTTGCTATGAATAATTGCTCCAGAACCAAGACAGATGGTTTCTGAGATCAGAGAGGGGAGATCTCAGTTAGCATCACAATGTGTTTGCAGCCCATCCTTTTAAAATACCAAGATAGGGGCACCTGGGTGGCTCAGTTGGTTGAGCATCCGACTTCAGCTTAGGTCATGATCTCATGGTTCATGAGTTCAAGCCCCGCATTGGGCTCTGTGCTGACAGCTCAGAGTCTGGAGTCTGCTTCTGATTCTGTGTCTCCCTCTCTTTCTGCCCCTTCCCTGTTCATGCTCTGTCTCTGTCTCTCACAAAAGCAAAATAAGCATTAAAAAAATTTTTTTAATAAAATAAAATACCAAGATAATGGTGACAGTGAGCCTGTTGGGAAGGTTTATGAGCACACCTGCACCCAGTCCTCAATGACAAACTTCTGCCTCTGTTGTTTTAACCTTATGATGAGATCCCAGGTCTGCTTTTGGTGGCTCTTCTTTGATAGCTTGCATATGTTTGCTTAAAAGCTGCCCTCTTTTGGTGCTGAGGATATGAAGTTGAATGAAATAACCGTGTTCTTACACGTTTGATCAAGTTGATCCTACTACCATCAGAGTTTATGGTCTAATATAAGGGACCAACCAGTGAAAAATCTTAATGAGGACTATTAAAATAGATACTTTCTCTGCAAAGTAGAAAAAAGTGGAACTGTAGTACACACTGTCTCGATATAATTAATATGGATTAGTTTTTATATGTTTCTTATAAGCCAGTATCTTAGTCTATTCAGGCTACTGTAACAAAACAGCACCAACTGGTGGCTCATAAACAACAGAAATTGATTTTTCACAGCACTGGAATTTGGAGGTCCAAGATCGCAAGGTCAGACGAGGGCCCTCTTCTGGGTTGTAGACTTCTCGTATTCTCACACGGTGAAAGGAGCCTCTGGGGGGCTCTTTTGAAGGGCAATAATTTCATCTATGAAGACTCTGCTCTTGTGACCTAATCAGCTCCAAAAAGTCCCGCCTCCTAATGCCATCACAGTGGGCATTAGGGTTTCTACAGGAGTTTAGAGGGGCAAACAGCAAGGAAATCAGATAAGGTATAAAGTAGTATATTTATTCATATTTTTTATCTCCTTCCTTCCATCCATCCACCCACCATCCTTTCATCCTGTATCTTTCCACTGCCAACACATACTTTGGTCTTGGAGTACTAGTTTTCATGCAATGTTGTAACTCAGAAGACCCAGCATATTCTGCCAAAGGAAAGACCGAGGTATGATGCTTGTCACACATTTCGTAAGCCTCTCCCTGAATCCTTCAGTGTCCCCTTCTCTGAAATGTTTGCTTGCTAATGAGAAGTTTTCCCTCTAGTGTCCTCAGAAGAATTAAAATATAGTTCTCCAGTGTCGTTTTATTGGGGGTTATTTTATTATCAGCCTTGGGAATTCTAGAGAAGAGAAAGAAAAACTTAGGAAACTAATATGTTATCTCAGAATATTGGCCAAGTTGAACCATTCTTGGGATTAAACAAATAAGTGGACAAAGAATGAGGAAAGCTTCCTCAGGACCCTCACTCTGCATTTTCCTTTCTCTGGGTACCGTTGCCAACGGTGCCATGCTGTAGACAGTGTGTTACATCAAATCTAATAGGCTGAGTAATGATGCTGATTCTATGGCACCAGAAGCCCAGATCTTTTAACCACAGTGCCTTGGACAAGTGACGTAACACTTCTAGGTTAAATCTGCTTCTCCATCTGTGTTAAAGTGGTGACAACAAAATCTACCTCTTTTGGTTGATATGTGGATTAATTAAGATAAGAAATATAAAGGACTTTTCCCAGTACCAGTCTATACTGAGTTCAATTCTTATTGGTTATTATTAAACATTCATATTAAAGTATATCCTTAGCTCTCTTCATCTGTATGTCTTTGATATACTAGCTGCACACTGAGAAGCATGACTTCATTTCTGCATACTTAGATACTTATTTTTCAGCATCAAACATTTTTTTAATGTTTTATTTACTTTTGAGAGAGAGAGAGAGCGAGCGTGATCAGGGGAGGGTCAGAGAGAGAGGGAGTCACAGAATTCGAAGACAGGCTCCAGACTCTGAGATAGCTGTCAGCACAGAGCCCAACACGGGGCTTGAACCCACGAACCGTGAGATCATGACCTGAGCCAAAGTTGGACGCTGAACCCACTGAGCCACTCAGGCGCCCCTCAGCATCAAACTTTTAAAAAGTGGTTTGGCACTGTTCTTAATATGTAATCAATACATATCTTTTTATTTAATTCTCCCAACAACCTTGTAGAAGAGGTAGTGGTATTATCCCCACTTTACAGATGAGGAAACTGAGACTCAGATAAGTTAGGTAACTTTTCCAAGGACATAGTATAGCAGGATTCTCACACAGAGAGTCGTGACACTGAGGCTTTTCTTTCCAGGAAGCAACTTTATTGCTTGCCGGCACCGCTCAGTTGGGTTCATACCTGAAGAACTGAGCCCCGAACACCACGTGGCATAGTTTTTTATGTATTTTCTATTTCTTTGTCTCTCATATATGTGGTAACACACACAAACATGTAGTCTGATTAAGTGGTCTCATGTTACAAGATCATGAGGGAGGTTGTCACGTATGCACATAG